TGTGACACTAAATATTGAATTTAATTAATTGACGTATCAATGAAGTCATTCAACTATTATTTAAATAAGTATCATGTGCTACCATATGCATAGAGTTTAATGCATTCTATTATTAGCGTGTTTAATGTTATAATAATTACAATTTTCTTTTTAATAATTTTTTCACTCTCTCGCATCCAAAATGGGTATAAATTAATTAACTCATGAAAATTTAGAATTTTAATTAATATAAATATTAATTTAAGAGTCTAAGTAACAAATTTGAATGTTCATAAATATAAATGGATTTTTTAATTTATTTTATTTTAATTAGTTTACAAAAAAAAATTAATTAAAAAATGAAAATGATAAGAAAAAATAATAATTAAAAAAAAAAAAACTCCGGAATTAAGGCCACCCCGTCTCTCACATTATTAAATATTATTGTCATGGAACATGCCGTATTAATTTTCCAATATAATTTAAATTTGTTTTATTTTTTTTTTCAACATCTTAAATTAATAAAAGTATTTTTAAAGTTTAAAAATATTTTTATTAATTTAAGTTTTAGTTTTGAATAATAGTTCGAATAATATTAAGAATAATATAAATAAAAATATTATTTATAAGGTGTTGATAGACAGCAATGGGTTCTCTGTTCTGTCGGATTGGACGACAGAAGTTTTGAGAATTCAAGAGAAGGTCACGGGTAGATGAGCAGTGGTAGACTTGAACCTTGTTTCTAATGATCGATCAATTAAAAAATTAAACTTCTTCTTACAAACGTGTTAGATGCTATTTTTACAAATTTAAGGCAGAGTATTTTTTAATTATTTTAAAAAAATTAAAGGATATTATTGAAAACTACTCATAGTTTCATTAAAAAAAAAATAATTTTTAATTAAAAAAAAAGGTTTAAAGGGTATTGTTTGAATTTTTGGATGATTAAGGTTTTTGTTTGATAAATAACTATATATATATTTTTAATTATTATTAAAAAAAAATCAATTTTTAATAGCATTATAATTTTAAATTTTAAAATTTTCCTTAGAAAAACTAATAATAAAGCCAAAGTTACAGAGCATGCCGTCTGAGTCTGCAGCAGCAGGAACCATCCACGCCTCAACCTCAACAATGAACAATTTATTAACAAATTCCTTCTCTGGCGATATCACCGTTGCAGTACGTTCATCTTCTTTCTATTCCGTGTTCGATCCTCTGCAAATTCTATTGGGTTTCTGATACATTTCGCTTGAGCTTTAGGGTTTTTGATCTTTCGTGGGTTTCAATCCTCCGGCTCTGTAGTTAAAACAGAGGAAATGGCAACTTTTTCTTCGCTCTCGGCGGCGACCGCACTGTCCAGCATCCCGAAAATGGCTTCTCCGGCGAGGAACCCAATTCCCAATGTTCATCCCGCATCGTCTCAATTCTGCCCTTTTTTGAAATTCAATCCCAAAAGATCTCTGTTCGTTGTATTCACCTCTAGTCAGAAGCCCCAATTTCCGTGCAAATCTCGGCGGAGGAGCTCCGTCCAATGCCTTTTCACCGGCATAGTTGAAGAAATGGGGCGTGTAAAAAACTTGGGTATTGCTGAAAATGGGGGTTTTGATTTGGAAATCACAGCGAAAACTGTTCTTCAAGGCGTTAACCTTGGAGACAGTATTGCTGTGAATGGAACTTGCCTTACGGTGACGGCTTTTGACCACAAACTATCTGAATTCAAGGTGGGGTTAGCGCCGGAGACGCTCAGGAAGACATCGTTGGTGGAGCTGGTGCCGGGTTCTCCGGTGAATTTGGAGCGGGCGGTTCAGCCAATCAGCCGAATGGGTGGGCATTTTGTGCAGGGGCATGTGGATGGGACAGGGGAGATAGTGTCGATGGATGCTGAGGGGGACTCGTTGTGGGTAAAGGTGAGGACGTCGGAGGCTGTGCTGAACTATATTGTAGCAAAGGGATTCATTGCGGTGGATGGAACTAGCTTGACTGTGGTGGATGTTTTTGATGAGGAAAAGGCTTTTAACTTCATGTTGGTTGCTTATACTCAGAATGCTGTGGTGGTTCCATTGAAGAAAGTGGGGGATTTGGTGAATTTGGAGGTTGATGTTCTTGGCAAGTATGTGCAGCGGCTCCTTAGCAATGGTGCCATCGGTTCCATCGAGTCTCAGTGACAACAAAAGCCTGAAAAAGGGACTTAGAAGCTGCAATCTTCTTCTACGTAAAGCTTTAACTTGGCTTGTTATGTATCTTAGCCATTATCAACGTGGGGTTGGGATGAATAAATGGTCTAATTTTCTACTGTCTCTTATTGTCCTCGATCTCTTATTTCATTTTGATATTTAGAATAAAGCTTCCTGTAATGTAATAGTACAAGTTCATTGGCAACATATATTGTTGACTTTAGACTTTTTCTTTCGGATTTTTTCTCAAGGTTTTTTTGTTACAAATAGTATGGAGCTGAACACTGGACAATGTGCCAACGAGAAGGTTGAAACTCGAAGAGGGATGGACGCTAGGCAACATGTCAGCAAGGAGGCTGGGCCTCAAAAGGAGTAGATTGAGGGGTCCCACATTGTTTCGAGAGGAGAACGAGGATGCTGGGGAGTGAATTGTGAAATCTCACATTGGTTTGAGAGAGGAACATAGCATTTTTTGTAAGGGTTTGGGAACCTCTTTCTAGCACGCGCGTTTTAGAACTGTGAGGCTGACCACGATACGTAACAGGCCAAAATAGACCATATGTATATCTACTAGTGGTGGGCTTGAACTGTTACACTTGCATTCCATTCTAACTATTGTTATCTTCTAAGAGTAGGGGTTGACTCATCATGGTTAGGGGTAGATAAGAGTTTATTCGACAAGGCATACACAACATGGCTCGTGCTTTACTAATTGACGTGTATTATAGGATCTTTACATGTATAAGTAAAATACGAGCTAAATTATATATACGTTCTTGAATATAGGTCTTAGTTTAAAACTTTCAATGGATCATGCATAAGTTTTCGCAACCAAACTCTAAAAAGTTGTTGTCGAACGATGGATGATTCAAGAAGAGACGTCCATGGCGGGAATGGAGGAGAGGAGTCTTTGTTGTTAAACGATGGATGACTTAAGTAGAGATGTCCACGGGTGGAGATGGAGAAGAGAAATTCTATTGCTTAATGATGAGTGACTTAGGTAGGAACGTCCACGGGCAGGGACAGGAAGAGGAGTTATGTTGTTAAACCGTGAATGACTAGATAGAGATGTCCACGGGTAGACACGAGGTGAGTCAAGTCTATTATTATTTTTATATTAATTTAGCCTTAGTTTTAATTTCCATAGTTGTACATAGTATTATCCTTTTGAATGACTTGGCATGGGAAGATCATTGGTTTTTTTTGATATGAGGGTGTGGAGAAGCCAGATATTTGGAGCCAATCTGCCACATGGAACTACTTATATTCACACAAATAATTCGACCACTGACCTAATAATCGAGCGACAACTAGTATTACATGACGTAAGACAATGAGAGGTCGGAGTTGAGGAGGTCGAGGTCAAGGTCAAGGTCGGGTCAAGCTTTAGTGATGGGACATAATATAGATTTTTTATTCGAATCTTACCCAAATTGAAATATTCTCAAATTTAGACTTTGATCGAGGACCATTAAATTATTTGTGTTTTTGTAGTTTGAGGTAAAAAAAAAAAAAAAAAAATCCAATCGCTCACATTAATTTATTTTAGTTTAAAACAATTAATACGATTTATTCAAATTTAAATTTGAAGATAAACACAATTTAATGTGGGTTGAATTGGATTAAAAAATAGTGGTGGACAATGCAGGGGTTGGACACGTGTCATGTTTCTTGTGGCTATTAATTTTTATTAAATATTCCCACGAAAAAAGGCGTTTTGACATCACTGCCCTTAGGAAATCACTTTTTTCCACAAACCAACGAATTATTTCGTGGGGAAAATGGCTTTTAAGGGAAACAAAATTAATTTTATTTTTTGTAATAGAAAAATTAATTAATAATTTAAAAATGACACGATATTGAGTAAAATTATAGAAAATTAGATAAGTTGATGGTTGCTTAATGATTTATTTAGATCCATAAAATACGCTTTAGATCACATTAATAAATAATTATACTAATATTTGAATTTCAAAATTACAGGGTAAAATTGTCAAATCACAGTGTGAACGACGGGAATTCCTCCTCCTCCACCGGTGGTGTTCTAAATATCTAAGGCGGGGATGATGGGGATGGGTAGGTAGTGAAGGAGGTACCGTTACGTGGTCTAATTGACACCATACACGTGGAGAAGCCTTATTGGCCATGTAAGGAAAAATTGACCAATCAGAGTAGGGCCAGAGGACTAACTCCCAACCGCTCGCCTCGAAAGAATCAACGTCGGTGTGCCGCAGAGGCCTTAATTTTTTAAGGTTATTTTCCAAATTAAACCTTTTTTTTTTATTATTATTTTTAATTCTCGTTTTCTTCAGAGTGCCATTTGACAAACTTACCCTTTCTAGATAAAGTTTTATTGTTTTTATTATTTAGGTTAAATTAATAAAAAAATAACCTTAAACATAAAAAATTAAAAAATATTTTTACCATTAATTTTTTTTTTATGAAAATCATTAATACTCTGTTTCAAAAATACCATTAAACTTTCAACCGTGTCTTGAAAATTATTTTTTATTTTTTAAAAAAATGGTATTATTGAATTTTTTTAAAGTCTATTAATGATATTTTTTTAATTTAGCTTATTATTTATTTATTTTAAAATATTTTTGTCATAAATAAAGCTCAGTTTTGCCTAAGAAGAGCTCAATAACGTAGCGAATATAAATAAAATAAAGTTTAAAAAAGAAAAAGAAGGGGGTATTTACGTCATATAACAAGATGTAAAAGCAAAATTAAAATTTAAAAAAGAAAAAGAAGGGGGGTACGAAGGTAATTTAACGACACCGAACCGGCGGACAATACCGCGCCAATTATTTGTGAATTACAAAAATTCCTTCTCTCCACAATATATATTTATTTAATTTAGACGCCGTCGCTGCTTCACCGAAATTGCTCTCTTTTCCTCTTCTTCTTCTTCCACGCTTCCTCCATTTTTGCAAGATGAAGAAATCTGGTTTCATTGCCGCTTCCGTCGCCGCCGCCACCGCCGCCGTCTCCGCTTCCCCTTCTTCCTCTACTCTGTTCTGCGACCCAAAAATTCAGCTCCCTCGTCAGGTAAGCCTTGATCCACAAATCGTCGATTAAAAGATTTCCTCTTGTTGAGTTTGACTCGTAAATTTTGGATCTTTTTCGCGGTTTTTGAGATCTGGAGAGTTTAATTTGCAGGAGGAAAAGGAATTAGGAGAGAATTCTTCGTCATCGGCGGATAAATTTGCTCCCAAATTTGATGGGTTGAGATTTATTGAAACTCTGGTGACGGCTCACAGATGAGCTCCGCCGCGGGACGGCCATGTATGCGACGGCGGGACCCACCTCGGCCGCAACTCTGTTTGTCTGGTTTTTTTTTTTTTTAAATGTGATTTTTCTTGTGGAAAGAAAGGATAGATGATGGAAAAAGTTGTTAAAAGTCTCTTATTTTGTACATTAAAAAATAGATTAAATAATAATTTTAGTTTTTAGCTTTTTATTATTTTAATAAAATTATTGCCGAAAATTGAGAATTTCGGACGACAAAAAGAAAAAAAAAGTGTTTTCCTTAAATTAGGCTAAAGAGAAAAGGTTGTTTTTTCATTTTTTTTTACAAATTTACAAACAATAAAATCTTAAATTGCAATCTTGTTGAATTTGATCTACCTCGTGTTCTTTGATTGAGATAACCTTAAAATAGCTGAACTAATAATGCATACACGTCTAAATTCAAAAGGTTAAAGGTTCAAGGTTCAGACACTCCAACCGGGTTGAACGATAAAAAAGATAGCAACAGAGTGAGGGCAAAGAATACGATCTCCATAAACAATAATAAATATGTATAAAAAAAGATCGGAGAAAAAAGTTCGTTCTTACGAAAATTGAAATCACTGATATTCAAAATTAATCCTAAGACTAGGACTCTTACTTAAGGGGTTTCAAGAACATCATACTTGACCCTAGCAAAAGCTGGTTGCATGTCTAACTTTACGAGTGATCGATCGCCCCATCCGAATGCGTCGAGAAGTGAGAGCTTCTAACAATACTTCCAGAGAATCTTCCAATGCTTCGCCCTGTTTTTCCAATCCAACCGAACTTAACCTTGGAATGAGTTGAAGTTCAAACAGCAGGCTAGCTGCTGCTGCTGCTGTGCAGGTTCGGTCCCATGATGGTTGAGGCCTTCACATTCACAAAAAAAGGTTGGGACCTCATGCATCAGGAAATTTCTCCATTTACTATGGGTATAAACGTGTACATTACGAAAAGGAAAATGATTCTTATGTTTATCATAAATCTACGACGGTCACTGTTCTTATTGGGTGTCCGGCAAGAGCACAAGAGAATGCTAGCCCGATCAGAAAAGGAGCCCAAGTGGGTCCATATTCGTATGGGCCGTGTGTAGAATAGTAAAAAGAGTTTAATGTTCTATAAAAGAATCATGCTTTCACCTCAAATGACCTACCCCACCATGGAAAATAATCGAAAAGTGTTCGATAATATAATGGATTGCTGGCTCGAGTTCTTACCTGAGTTTATGCATTGCAGACGAGCCAGTAGTCAAGGATATGCATGGAAGGTCCTCCCCCCAAACTGATTTGGCTTGCTCCTGCGTAATAGCAATAATCATCGGACTAGTCAGTCATTTCGTTATAGGCAAAACATTGGCTTTCTCCAGAAATAGCCCAGCAAGATCCAACTAGAAGATAGAGATTAAAAAATGGTACATAACATTACCCTGAGTCGGTTGAACATTGCAGCAGAGTTGCTCCATGTACCATCAATCAAAATAAAATTCAGAATTCCATCTCCATCAGTCTATGCGTAGAATCAACAAGAACATTATGACCTTGACCAACTGGAAGAACACGAGATTTTACGAAAAGAAAACCATAGCCAAAAATAACATAACATCAGCCAGAATACCAAGTTACATTACTTGAAACTGCAAGGATTGAATGAAAAGCTGAGCCTAGAAGTCTTCCATAAATGACAGAATCATAGGTAGCCCAGCCGTAATGGGAGATCCCACATTAGTTAGGGAAGAGAACGAAATGTTCTTTATAAGGGTGTGGAAACCTCTCCTTAGCAGACACGTTTTAAAAACCTTGAGGGAAAGCTTGAAAGGGAAAGCCCAAAGAGGACAATATCTGCTAGAGGTGCGCTTCGGCCGTTACAAATGGTATTAAAGTTAGACACTGGGTGATGTGCCAACGAGGAGGCTGAGCCCCAAGGGGGGTGGACACGAGGCACTGTGCCAACAAGGACGCTGGGTTCGAAGGGGGATGGATTAAGGGGTCCCTCATCAATTGGAGAAGGGAATGAGTGCCAGTGAGGACGCTGGACCCTGAAGGGAATGGATTGTGAGATCCCACATCGGTTAGGGAGGAGAATGAAACGTTCTTTATAAGGGTGTGGAAACCTCTCCCTAGCAAATGCGTTTTAAGAACCTTGAGAGGAAGCCCGAAAGGGAAAGCTCAAAGAGGACAATATCAGCTAGCAGTGAACTTGGGCCGTTACAAGTAATATGATAAGCCATGCATGCACGTGAACTAGTGCACGAAATTAGAGAAATGATTTGTGAATTCTGGTGTTCAAATTTCTTCTACCGTGTCTTGATTTGTATCAGTACCAATTGATAATATGAAATCAAACTCAATCAAGAAAGGGACATTCACAACACTGTTTCAGACAAATATGTACCGTTTGCTGCGTGCGTTCTTGCTTAGTCGAGAGTTCGGAGATGAAGGCCTCCTGAACACTTTTTGAAGTTGCATTTTTGTTGGGGTAAAGGCAACAAACCTTGCTTTTACCTGGGTAATATTGTAAACAAAAGAAGAAAATAGGTATTACAAGCCATGCCAACTGTGCTAATGAGCAACAATTTGTAAATCTGACAGCATTGATCGGCATATATTTCTCATAGATGAAGAGGAATACCATAAATCTCCTCATGAAATGCATAATTTCTTAGTCATAGCGTAAGACATTATATTTAGTTTTTGTTATAATAAAATATTGTGAGATCCCACGTCGATCGGAGAGAGGAACATGTGTCAACGAGAACGCTGGGCCCCAAAGGAGGGTGGATTGTGAGATCCTACATCGGTTAGAGAGGAGAACGAAGCATTCTTTATAAGGGTGTAGAAACCTCTCTCTACCGTACATGTTTTAAAAACCTTGAGGGGAAGTCCAAGAGAGAAAACCCAAAAAAGACAATATTTGTTAGCGGTGGACTTGGGCCGTTACAAATAGTATTAGAGCCAAACACCGGGCGGTGTGCCAGCGAGGACATTAAGCCTCGAAGGGAGGTGGAATATGAGATCTCACATCAGTTGGAGAGGAGAACGGAACATTTTTTATAAAGGTATGGAAACCTCTCCCTACCAAACGGGTTTTAAAAACCTTGAAGAGAAGTCCAAAAGGGAAAGCCTAAATAGAACAATATCGACTTAGGCCGTTCCAAATATAGTTATAGTCTTGTTAAAGCTTACACGAGGAACACAATTACCTGCTGACTTGAATGCACTCCACATGATATCTTCATGTTCTGAGATACCATAGAGGCACAAAGTTGTGGCTTCTACACCAAAGACTTGCAGCAACAACTTCCCTGTGTTGTTCTGCCGCAGAAAATCCTGCACAATAACTCCACAACATTAAGTCAAGTTTAGTAGATCAAAAGGACCCAGAATTGATCAACACTAGACAAACCTTTGGATGCATATATAGCCAAAACCGTGCTCCAGACCATAGAGGGCACTGCTTGACTCTTGAACACATACAATCCTCAAAAGGAAGCCAGCACTAAACAGTCTCCAAAAGAATCCAAGAAAGCTAGAGAAGTTAAATTCATAATAACTAAGCTCTGTAAATACTTAAGGACCCCAAGAAATAAAGAACCATTTAGAACAAATTATACCTTCTGACAAAGATAATCCCGACTGCCAAGCAAACGACATGCTATTTGTCGAGCTGAAAAGAAGTGGAGTTTCTGCTCAGAACTACCTAGAGCCTGATATGTAGCTCGGTGTTTCTTGTCCTCCTGAGTTTTAAAGTATCCCTGAAATTTTGGAGATTAAAAGGGCAATCGTTTGCATAAACAGAAATATACAAAAACATTATCCAGATGAATTCCTTGCAAGAGATAGAGAAACAGCAAATGGGTATAAGATTTAACACATTCGTTGCATTTGTAACGAAGAACTGATGAACATATTGAATGAATTTGTGGCATACCTGAAGCTTGCCCCCATTACCACCAAAACTCATTTGGGCATCAATATTTTTCTCCAAAGCCTTCAATTCCTCGATAATTTCCGTTACCATTGTAGGCATAGGAGACGTGGAGCCCCAACCCTGCCATTCCTGCAACGTGATCGGAGTCTCTTGACTGGTTCCACGAGATTCTGTTGATATGGAGTTGGAAGCGCACCTCGAGATGCGGGCGTCGGGGTTTTTGGTGATGGAATCCATCTGGGTTTTGGTTGAAAACGCGCGAGATGGAGAGCGATTGAAAGAGGGGGCAAAGGCCCTTATAGTGGAGAGCATGGTGGACTTATGTTCCTCCAATTCCTAAGTAACGCGACACTGCTCCGTGTCTCCTCTCGCTGCAATTCAGCTCATAGTAGCCTACACATTTCCTTTCCATTGAGATCAAATTGGGACATCAATTGTGTGGAATTTGGATTGGGCTTTTGGGGTGGCTTAAATTTCTTTCAGTTTAATTTTCAAAGAATAAAAAATTTGGTTCAATTTATGTTAGGTGAATCCGAACCATCAATTAACTCAAAAATACGATTACAAGTTGTTCGGGTCACTAATTTTATCTAAAAGATTTTTCAACTCAACCCCATTTCTAGTCGATATTGTTCTCGACCCTTTAAATGGCCACTAACTTTCAAGTTAATCCAAAAGATTTTTTCAATCTAATCCATTGTTTATAGATATTGTTAGCTATGACCTGTTACGTATCACCGTCATTCTCATGATTTTAAAACTCGTTCGAAGAGGTTTCTACACTCTTATCAAAAAAATGTTTCATTTCTTTCTTCAACCAACGTGAGATCTCTCAGTTTAACACGGTCATCTTATTCATGAACTATGACTCATATGACAAAAAAAAATTGATGATGTTTTCTTCGGTCACAACTTCCCGTGTGTGTATATATGTATATATGAGAAGTATCGAGAAATCAAAGAAAATCTTCTGAAACACCAAACCTTGACACCTAAAGAAGGAACAAAAGGCAGAGTCCTCATCAATGAGTAATGGGGTCATCGTTGAACTGCAAAGAAACTCCACCAACTGTGCTAAGGTAGTTGAAGACATTGTGAAGCTCGAGAAGAAGATATTCCCAAAACATGAGTCTCTTGCCAGATTCTTCGACGAAGAATTGAAGAAAAAGAATTCAGGATTGCTTTTCCTGGACTTGGATGGTGAAGTCGTAGGCTATGTCATGTATTCTTGGCCCTCTTCCCTCTACGCTACGATCGCCA